GGGCGCCAGGGCGCTGGCGTCGCCGGAGCTGCCGGGGTGCCGGGAGGCGCCGCCTGCCACCTGGCCTTGACCGAGAACCGGGAAGCTCAGCGGTCACCGACCTGGGCTCCGAGGAGCCTGGCTTTGTTTTTCTGCTTCTCGAGTTTGTGTTTCTGTTTCTAGAGGGTCGGGATGAAGGACCGACCGGGACTCCCATTGCTCTCGCTGTTCATTCCGCAAATGCTTACGGAGCACCTGCTTTGGGCCTGATGCCGTTCTAAGCATTGAAGCCACAGCAGTGTCAACTGACAGAGCAGGGCGCGGTGGCGCACGCCTGCAGTCCCAACACTTGGGCAGGTGGTGGCGAGGGATGGCCTGAGCCCAGAGGTTCGAGGCCAGCCTGGGCAACTTGGTGAAACCTCGTCTCTACAATAAATCAAAAAATCAGCCAGGTGGACCCTGAACATGTATCCTAATACTATACGAAAGGGATTGGCCGTGATGGGATGTAAGATGACCATGTGTGTTCCTAACCCTGAACTGTACCCAAAATTAAAAAAAAAAAAAATAGCCAGGTGGGGTGGCACACGCCTGTAGCTACTTGGAAGGCTAAGGCAGAAGGATTGCCTGAGACCAGCAGGTCAGGCGGCGGTGGCCGCGTGTCTCTGCACTCCAACCTGGGCTACCAAGTGAGACTCCAACTCAAAAAAACAGAACAAAACAATTCCTTGCTCTCGTGTAGTTTTCCTTCTACGAGCTGTGAAGAGCATAGACTCTATCAAATGATGGTAGTGCTATGGAGAAAAAATTAGCTTTGAAGGGCAAAAGTTTGCAGTTTAAAATAAGGTGGTGGAAGGAATTCTCGCTGAGAAAACAGATGAGCCATGAGCCAGGTGTGGGAGGGAGTTAACCCTGCTGATCCCTAGGGGAAGAGCCCTCCAGGCAAAGGGAGCTGCAAGGCAAAGACCCTGAGGTAGCAGCGCTTTGGTGTGCTTGAGGGACTGCAGGAGTGAGCAGGGGACGAGTGCTGGCAACTGAAATCGGGAGGGTATGGTGGGGGTAAGGAGCTGTGAGCATTGTTAAGAACTTAGGAGAAAGCATGATGGCTTGGAACAGTAATATGGGAGTGCAGCTAGTGAGAAGTGATCGGATTCTGAGTCTTGCAGATGGGGCCAGCGCGTGTTATGAGAAGAGAATGACTCCAAAGTTTTTAACTGACCCTCTGAAAGGTGGGAGTTGCAACCACTGAGAGACTGGGAGGTAAGATCAGTTCCGTTTTGGTCAAGTTGTTCGAATGCCTATCAGTACAAGGCACACCCGGGGGGATCAGAAAAGCGTTGGGCATAGCACACAGGAGCTACGGAAGCTGGGACCTCTTTTTCTCCCATCAGCATATTCATCCCCTGTCCCCCACCCCACCCCCACATATACAGTTTGTTTGCTTGTTTCTGTTTGTTTTTCGAGTCAGAATCTCACTTTGTCACTCAGGCTAGAGTGTAGGGCCATGATGCCACGATCAGGGCTCACTGCTGCCTCGGCCTTCCTGGCTCAAGCGATCCTCCCACCACAGCCTCCCAAGTAGCTGGGACTACTGGCAAGCACCACCATGCCTAGATGTTTAATTTTTTGTAGAGACGAGGTCTCACGGTTGCTCCGGCTGGTCTTAACTTCCTAGGCTCAAGCAGTCCTCCTGCCTCAGCCTCCCAAAGTGCCGGGATTTCAGACGTGAGCCACTGTACAAGGCCTGATTTTCTTTAACAGATGGGCTCTTACTGTGTTGCCCACTCTGGTCTTGAACTCCTGGGCTCAAGCAGTCGTCATGCCTCAGCCTCTCAAAGTCTGAGATTACAGGCATAATCTATATTATTTTGTTGGCGTCAAATTCTTCCCAGCTGTGTTGTGCCTCCTTCAAAAATACAAACAGAAGGTACCCTCCACAGTAGTGGAAAGAACAGACCTGGATTTAAAAATCAGACTGCATCAGGAATCGGTTGCCAGTTCCAATTTCCATAAGGGTAAAAAAGAAAAATTTAAAAATTAAAATAAAAAAATTAAAATCAGACTGCAGCAAACTAGCTGGGCGACCTTAAGCAAGCCACAACCCAAGTATACAATCTAATATATAAAACGGGGTATCCCCTGGAAGGGAATGTGGGCTCCACCTCTTTTTGTACATGTGCCGCCTCCTTTCTCTCTTGTACATAAACCCCAGACCTTCTCTTTCTCAACAAAGACTTGAAGCACCAAAATAAATAAATAAATAATAAAATGGGTGCCGGGCTCAGTGGCTCAGCCTGTAATCCCAGCGCTTTGGGAGGCCGAGGTGAGAGGATTGCCTGAGCCTGCGGGTTCGAGACCCGCCTGGGCAACTTGACGAGACCTCATCTCTACAACAAATCAAAAACTAGCCGGGCGTGGTAGCGCACGCCTGTAGTTCCAGCTACTCGGAAGGCTGAGGCGGAAGGATCACCAGAGCCCAGCGGGTCGAGGCTGCGGTGGCCAGGAGTGGCCTCTGCACCCCAGTCTGGGTGACAGAGTGAGACTCCAACTCCAAATAATAATAATAATAAAACGGAGTATCTCTACCTACCCTACAGGTCTTCATGGCTAATCCATAACCAGCATCATTTTCTCCCAGAGGACAGGGTCTTTAACTTAGTTTTTGTGTTGCCTTTGCATGAACAAAATTTTACAAGGGAGAGGAGGAGAGATTATTGCTGATCGTCTCCCAGTACCAGGTTTCCCTCCTGGCATTCCTCACACCTTTGACCTCTTTACAGTCTCACACACAAACTCCACACTTTTCTTTTACTATTTTGTTTTTCCTTTTCCTTCCATTCTAGTTGGCTATAATATTCAAAGATGAGATGAGATATCCCTATTGGACAAACAGCCACAATCCCAAGTCCCAAGCTTTTCACATTTGTATTTGTTATCCATCAGTCTGTGATGACTTTTTTAAGGAAAACCAGAAACAGGACAGAGGACTCTCCAATAAATTTAAGTGAAAGCATATCTGGGAAGAGGAATCTTGAAAGGGTAAACTGAGGCAAGGTGGGCCAGTACCACGGGAATAACGCAAGATTGCAACAGAGAAAGAAATAAAGTATATAATCCACTTTCCACAAACAGAAAGGGGCCAGCACTCAATGGGCGAATATGGCCTCGAAGGGCTGAGAACTGGGCATAATTAAGGGCCCTTGGGACAGCGGGGATTTGAGCTTAGAGGGGTCTGGGCCAAAAGTTATGTCCAGGGCTGTATTCTTTGATGTTGATAGCAGTCACATAACTTGGATCTTGACATCACTAGGCACCAGCATCTCATGACCTTGGGTGGTGTGGTGGGCGGCTGGTAACAATGTACCAATATGAATGCCCGGAAGAGAAATTATTAGAAGGACTGGACATGCTTAAGGGGTTTTGAATAATCACTGAGTTCTAAATCTAAGGCCTTACGAGGTAAGAAGAAAATGCAGGCTGCTGAGCAAAGCATGTCAGGGGTAAAGCTAAGCAAAATGGCTGCACTAAAGCAAAGTTCTCCTGAGTTTTGGGAGTTCCTTCCTTTCAAAGCTGAAATGTTTAGACTTTTCCCAACTGTAATGTTTGCACTGTATATATTTTAGACATGGATCTTGAGGCTCAACTAAGAATGGTACTAAAGCAAGATAAAATATGTATAAATCCATGGTAATCTCTTGGCATTAATTATGACTCACAATATTTTAATCATGTCCAAAATGGTAGAATAAAGAAGTTGTCTAACCCAGTCAATGGTTTTATAAACGTGCAAAACTAACAGACAAGTGTAAAGAATGGAACAGGCCGGGTGTGGTGGCTCACACGTATAATCCCAGCACTCTGGGAGGCCGAGGTGAAAGGACTGCCTGAGCTCACAGGCTTGAGACCAGCCTGGGCAACTTGGTGAGACCTCATCTCTCCAATAAAACAAAAAATCAGCTGGGTGTGGTGGTACATGCCTGTAGTCCCAGCTACTTGGAAGGCTGAGGTGGAAGGATTGCCTGAGCCCAGCAGTGCGAGGCTGCGGTGGCCGTGAGTGTGCCACTGCACTCCAGCCTGGGCAACAGAGTGAGTCTCTAACTCAAAAAATTTTTAAAAAGGGGTGGAACAATCTGTTTTTTGCCCATGGGTAACCAGACACAATCCACAGGGTTAGGACATTCATGAACAGCACACCCTGTGGAATCAAACTGAAATACACAAAAAGGTAGAGCTGTGGCGGCTCATGACTATAATCCCAGCACTTTGGGAGGCAGAGGCGAGAGGATCGCCTGAGTCCACAGGTTTGAGAACAGCCTGGGCAACACAGGGAGACCTTGTCTCTACAGCTAATCAAAAATTAGCTGGGTGTGGTGGCATGCGCTTGTAGTTCCAGCTACGCGGAAGGCTGAGAAGGTTGAGGTTGTGGTTGCCGTAAGCGTGCCATTTTACTCCAGCCTGGGTGACAGTGTGAGACTCTGACTCAAAAAAAAAAAAATACACTAAAAGCATGCAACATAAAAACTGTGAGAGACAGAGCGTAGCGGCTCATGCCTGTGATCCCAGCACTTTGGGAGGGCGAGGTAGGAGAATCGCTTGAGCCCAGGAGTTCCAGACCAACCAGGGCAGCATAAGACTCCTTTGTCTACAAAAAAAATTTTTTTTTTTGAGTTGGAGTCTCACTCGGTCGCCCAGACTGGAGTGCAGTG